GCACTTCAGATTCCGGCAAGAGCAATAGTCTGAAAGAACCGAAACGACTGTGCGCGCACAGAGGACCCAGGCCCACTGTGCCTCCTCTGCTGCCCTCATTCCGACCTCATGGCTGTTCCCGGGGACACTGCTGGCGCTCCTGGGCCTTCGCCGGAAGTGAGGAACCAGCTTGTTTCTCATTTCCTTCTCTCACTGCACGGACCGTTTTAGAAGGCACTTAAACTCGGGGTGAAGACCTTGGCCTCAAATCCTGGCTCCACCACTCTCCCGTGTGACTTTGGAAAATTTACTTCTGTTTATAAGACTTCTGGTTTCCCCATGTGAAAAATATGATAGTTTTTTTTTTTTTTTTTTTTTTTGAGACAGAGTCTCACTCTGTTGCCCAGGCTAGAGTGAGTGCCATGGCGTCAGCCTAGCTCACAGCAACCTCAAACTCCTGGGCTCAAGGGATCCTCCTGCCTCAGCCTCCCGAGTGGCTGGGACTACACACATGCACCACCATGCCCGGCTAATTTTTTATATGTATACTTTTAGTTGTCCAGATAATTTCTTTCTATTTTTTAGTAGAGACGGGATCTTGCTCTTGCTTAGGCTGGTCTCAAACTCCTGAGCTCAGACGATCCACCTGCCTCAGCCTCCCAGAGTGCTAGGATTACAGGCATGAGCCACCTCACCTGACCATGATAAACTTATAAAACCTGCTTCATAGGGTCTTCGAAATGATGAAAAGAGATAAATATAACAAGTGCTTGTGCATAGTAAGTGCTTAATAAATGACATCTATCACTATTATTAATTATTATCACTAAGTCCTATCAATCCTTTCTTGGTAGAATCTCTCCCAACTATCTTCTGCCTAATAAACTCCTACCTGTCCTTCAAGGCCTGGCTCAAATGCCACCGCTGTGAAAGCTCCTGAACACCCAGAACTGATTAATATTCCTTCATTGGAGGGACATTATATTCCTTCACAGTGCCAGGTACCCAGCTTCATTACTGCACATTATACTCTGATTTGCTCGTCTATCTCCTCTCCTCCATAGCAGACTCTGAGCCCCTGCAAGGCAGCAGCTCAGATTGATTCACCTCAAATCCTCAGCCCCTACGTCAGTGCCAGGCCTAGAGTGTGAATTCAAGTAATCATTCTTCCAGTTGAATTAATTCCATCCCTGCCTCTAACACCTAGGCCTGGCCATTTTCAGTTCATGGTGGAACTATGATGTCGGTGAAATCACCCATATTAAAGTAATGTAAGGCCATAGGCAAGAACTGTGGTAAAAATCTGATTTCTACTGAAGTACAGACATAGCTAAAAGTTAACCAGCACTTGTTTCATAGCTTACCTTCTTGTCACTGCTTACTGCTTAAGAGTCAAATATCCTTGACTAGTATAAGATTCGTGACTTACCCAGTCACTTCTTTGGATAACATCACTATTGTAAAACCTAAGACTGGTCTTTGAGGTATTTTCCAGACTCTGCATTCGGGGAACCAACTGTTGCCACCCAGACCAGTGGACAAGTGTGGAAACTGACTCAACAAGTCCTATTGAGTCCGTACTTTATAAAAAGTACACACAAAGTGGGAACTGTGGTGTGGCCTGGACTCTGCAAAGGTATAGGTGTCGTTAAAATATATGTATAACTAGCCAGTGCTCCTGGCTTGCTTTACTATAGTTGCTTACCTCTCTGTCATACAGCTGATGGTCATAAAGATCTGTAGCTTTCCTCATTGCCCCCACAGATAACATCACCCTAGTGAAGAGTAAGGCTAGTTTTTGAGATATCTTCCAGGCCCTGCATTCCAGTGGATCAGCTGACCACCCAGACCAGTGGACCATCCCAAGGAAATGACTCGACTGGTCTTGTAACCCTCACCCAGGAATGAGTCAGCAAAGGAAGACAATTTCTACACCCCTATGTTCCCACCTGAAGCCAGCCAAACAGCAGACCCAATTGCCTAGCCCTTTGCCCACCAAACTATTTTTAAAACCCTTCTTCCTAAATTCTTAGGGAGATGGATTTGAGAATTTCCTCATGTCTCCTTGCATGGTGCCTGTGATATTAAATTCTTTCTCTGCTGTAACACCTGCTGTCTGAGTGACTTCCCCCTGAGCAACAGGCAATGAACCTGGTTGGGTTACAACACTGTGATCCCCCTATCCAGGAACTGTCTCAGCACAAGAAGAAAATTTCTGCTTTCTAATCTTATGAGTTCATCCTGAGCCAATCGGAAGACCCAGTTCCCTAGCCCTTTGTCCACCAAATTACCTTTAAAAAGTTTAGCCCCCAAATTCTGGGGGAGATGGATTTGAGACATTCTTCCTGTCTCCCTGCTTGGTGCCTTGCAATATGAAACTCTTTCTCTGTTGCAACCCCTGCTATCTCAGGGTATTGGCTTCCTCCTGGGCAGTGGGCTAAGAACCCCCTTGGCTGGTAACACAGAGGCCAAGGGAAAAACTCTTTCCCCTTCATCCTCTGAAGTTTTGCTGAAAAATCAACTCACAAAAGGCAGATTAATTAGATAAAAGGCATACAACAGCAGTCTCCAACCTTTTTAGCACCAGGGACCATTTTCATGGAAGATAAATTTTCATGGACTGGGGAGGGTGGGAAATGGTTTCAGGATGATTCAAGCACATTACATTTCTTGTGCACTTTATTCCTATTATTATTATATTATAATATATAATGAAATAATTCTACAACTTACCATAGGTTGGGAACCCCTGGCATACAAAATTTATTAATGTATACATGGGGAGCATCACAGAGTGATTAATCAACCCCCCAATGGGGTGCAGAAGCTTACATGCCATCTTGAGGTTATAGAAACAACAGAGGCTTGGATTATGGCAAAACAGGTTATGAAAGCAGAGAAGAGGAGGCCTGGCTAGCAAAGGTGATCTCGTTAGATAGATGAAACCTCAGAGGTAGCAGCCCTCAGAGAGAATAGACGGTCAATGTTTCTTTCAGACCTTTACAAGTGTCAGACTCTCAGGTAATCTTTCCTCAATCTGGACAAGGGAAGGCCTGTCTGCATCAATGCTGATTCTTGACAGATGCAAATTTTCCCCACGAAAGCAGCTTTGCAGGGTTACTTTTGTTTGATGACTCCCTGACAGCCATCTCAAAGTGTGTCAAAGAAACATATCTGTGGGTAAAATATTTTTATTACCTTCAATGGTAACAGCTTCCTGATTGGTCTCCCTATACCAATTCAAGCTAACATTTGATCCAGATAGGTCCCTGCTCATAACCCTTCAAGGACAGAGTAGTATTGTAAAAGGAACCCAGAGATGGAGCCAGACCTGGGTTTTGAGTCTAGTTTTGCTACAGGTCGATGCGATCCTAAGCACATTGCTTTAACTCTCTAGGCTTCTTCATCTGTAAAATGGAGGTGATAACTCCTCCTGCAGGACACTAGAGGGGTCTCAACGAGAAATGTCTGTGAGAATATGCCAACATTACCTAATGTTAGCTGTTACCACTTCTGTTATTTTTGAGAGACAGTATACGTTGGGGAAGAAGGAAAGAGTAGCTGAAAAGTCTCTGTCCTGGCAGTCAAACTACACCCCAAACAGCTGAGTGGTCTTCCACAGTCTCCCTAGTTGCACATAAAGAGGAAAACTCTAAAATCTTTCCTATGCCTAGGGTCCATTTCCTCCAGAAACTGCATTTAAAGCACACCATTAACAGGAAAACAAAATACACCAAACTCTGCAAAAGAATTTAAGGATGCTTATTCTGAGCCAAATATGTGTGACCATGACCCAGAAAGCCAGGCTCAAGAAGTGTTGAGCAAGTAGTCCTGAGGTGGTTGGATTACAGTTTGATTTTATACATTTTAGAGAGACAGGAATTGCGGGTAAAATCATAAATCAATTCATGGAATGTGTACATCGGTTTGGCCCAAAAGGGCAGGACATCTTGAAAAGGAAGGGGGCTTACAGGTTATAGGTGGGTTTAAAGATTCTCTGCTTTGTAATTGGTTAAAGAAATAAAGCTTTGTCTAAAGCCTTGGAACATTTTAAGATAAGGAAGTCTGTTAGAGACATGCCATAATATATGGACTCAAGTTATCTGTTAAGCAAATTGATGGCCTGCAGGGGATTTAACCTTTATTCTGCATGACCTATGTCTTGTTAATAATTACTTGTCTTAACTTTAAAGCAGGGTGTATAATAAGGTGTTTGCAACCTCCCTTCCCTTCGTGACCAGGAACTCAGTTTTAAGGTTTTTCTGGGGTCCTCTTGGCCAAGAAGGGATCCATTTAGTCAGCAAAGGGCTTGGGATTTTATTTTAGTTCACATCCCTTTGTGAGACCAATCCCTAAAGCAAAAAATTAAATACAAATATGAGAGAACATTTGTATAGCCCTTTACCGTTCATGGAGACTCTCACATCCATCATTGTGTTTGAAAAGGGCTTTAATAGGAAGAAATCATACCAAATCTTCACCGTGAAAACCTCCGGATGGTAGAATTAGGCATGACTTTAATTTTGTATTTTTCTAAATCTTCAAAATCTGCAATTTTGGAACTAGATAGAGATAATGGTTGCACAACACTGTGAACATACTAAATGCCACTGAATGGTACATTTCAGAATGGTGAGTTTTGCCTTATTATAAAAATCTTATGCGATACACACGCATGGTTTTATAGTCATTTCTTAAGACGTGGTCTGGGGAAAGAATTACAAAGAAGGCTTCTTAAGGCTGAAGACCAGCGCAGTTAGCTGCCACTCTTCTGGGCGCATTTGCTCAAGTCGCAGGTCCAGGTTTCCAGCCTGCAGCGCGCTCCTCCGACCACCAGAGGTCGCTGCGAGGCCCTCACGTCCCCACACGCCTGCGGGCGCCGTCTCTTGCGTCTTTGAAGCGCGTGTGCGTGCGAGAGGCGTGGCCAGGGCGGATCGCCGTCGGCGCGACCCCAGCCCACCTGAGCGGCGCAGCGCCGCGTCTGCTGTCCGCGCTCCGGACTGGCACGGCGCTCCGTCTTTGGAGTCCCACCCTTCGCTCAGCCTTCCCTCCCTCGGGCCGGTCCCCGACTTCCATTTCCCCACCCCAGGCTCCCGGTCCCGGTATTTGTTCCCCGCCCGGTCGTCCTCTCCTCTCCTCTGCTCCGCCCAGGGTCCCCTGGCTCGGCCGCGGCCCATGGCGCTGCAGAGCTCGGGGGTGACCTTCCGCAAGATCCTGTCTCACTTCCCCGAGGAGCTGAGCCTGGCTTTCGCCTACGGCTCGGGGGTGTACCGCCAGGCGGGGCCAAACTCAGACCAGAAGGTGAGCCTGGCGCTGCAGGTGGCCCCTCCCCGTGAGCGCCGGTCAGCCCCGCGCCAGGAAGCTGCCGGTTCTCACATGTCCCCTTTGGCCTTCTGTCCCTCGGCGCCGGGAGCTGCCTGTGCGCTCTGTGCACTGCACGTGTCAAACTAGCACCGTCCAAACCGCACGCAGGTGTACTTGCATAGAGAGAGCGTGAGCTGAGTTCTGAAGGGAAAGTGGGAGTCCACTTGGGCCTAGAGCAGGAGATGCAGTCAGGCGGAGGGAAAAGGTCATGCAGAGGCCAGATGGAGGAAAGGAAAGAGTTGTCAGGTTCTAGTTCAGTGTTTTCAGTCTTAGCTGAACGTTGGAATTTTCTGGGGAATTAAAAGAAAATACCAATGGCTGGGTTTTGCCTATGAAGGTTCTGATTTAATTGGTTTGAGATGAGGCCTAAGCTTCAGGAATTTTAAAACTGACCCCACGTGATTGTAACTTGCAGCCAAGTTTGAGTGCTGAGTCTGTAGCCGTAGGAGAAAATACAAAATGATCGTCTGACTTCAGGAAGCTGACCGACTGGCTGTTGGGCCAGGTTAGGTGCAGTGAAGCTAACAGCAAAAGTTACTGGGTGACCAGTATGTTTCCCCATCCTTAGCCCATTTGACAAGGGTTTGTTTGGAACTAGGTATTGTTTACTCTTGAGAGTTGGCTGATTACAACAGTAGTAAGGGTACAGTTTTCCTTATTTCCAGAATTTAGAGTGCAGATTGCAATAGGGCCTCCCACTCTGGATACCTGGCTGTAATTTATCTTGTTAAAATTTACCTGTTCACTTCCTGATAAGGTCGTCTATACTATTGCTTTGATTGCCTGTTTCCGACTTATACTACAATTAATATTTTTCTTTAAATTGGCAGCATATGAGAAATTATACGTTATTATAGGCTAGTTATTTTTTCTAACATACATTAACATCGCACATTTTTTTAAAAAAACATTTCTCTGTGTCTCCCTCCCCCTAAATCTTAAATATCAACAGTGGTTTGTGAGTCACACTGTGGGAAACGCAGAGCAGGCCTTGGCCTTCTGATAGTTACCTCTTTGTTTTTCCATGAAGGATTTCCTTTGAACAGACATGGAATTGCCTCCCAGAAAAGGTCCTTCCTTCCCTTTCCCTCACTGTCATTCCCTATATTCAGGTTAACATCTTGTAGATTCTAACACCTACATCTCTCTCAAAGCAATCCCTGCCCTCAGTGCCTTAGTTAATAAGTTTTCATTTCTCACCTGGAATCTTGCAGTGGTTTTGTATCTGATTTTCCCCACCCTTAATCTCTCCTCCCTCCAATCAGCTTTTCTGTAGGAAAATTTTCTAGCATGGCAAACAGGCTTCCTCTCTGGTTTCATCTCCTACCACATGAATATGTCCTAGTCATATCAAACTGCAGCTCCCAGAATATGCCTAGCTCTCATATCAACAGGAACAATTTTCTGTAATATGACTCCCTACCTTTCCCTTCCCTAGTACTTCCACCAAGCCTGTTAAACTCTCGTGTTCTTCAAGACTCATTTGTTATCTCTAGAATTTCTCCTTCCTGTTCTTCTGACCCAACCCCCATTCTGATTGAAGTTAGTACATTTTACGTTTTTCTGTCAAGTCAATTTAGTAATAATTTGTCTGTTGTCCCCAGTAAGCTCTGAGCTCTTCTCCCCTAGGACCTATCAGAGCTCATTAGGTACTCAGTGAGTGGTTGGTGAATGGGTAAGTGTTAAAATAACTTATTTCCCTTTATATAATACTTTATAGAGCTTATCCATATGGTGTTAATATGATCTGGAAGAAAAGTGGAACACAATTAGCCACACTTAGTTGAAAGGCAGTGTAGTGTAGTGGTTAGCACACAGAATTTGGAGCTAGGCTTAGGTTTGCCACTCACTAGTTCTGTGTCCTTGGGCAAAGAGCTTACCAAGTGCCTTGGTTTCCTTTCCTATAAAATTGGAATAGTATCAGTAGCTACCTTGTAGGGTTGTTTTGAGGATAAAATGAGTTACTATAAATATTATATATAAAATGTTTAGAAGAGTGCTGGCACAATGATGCATGTTAACTAAGTATTTACAACACAGCTCAGAGTGGTTCCAGACTCTAACTCAAGTTTCTGATGACAACACTAGGTCTTCTGACTATTAATAGCTTAGTATTTTAGATCTTTGTACTCTATCTAGCTGCCTCTCTAGGAATCAGTACTGAAACCATTCTCTTTTCTTCACCTTACAGAATGCCATGATGGACTTTGTGTTCACAGTAGATGATCCTGTTGCATGGCATACAAAGAACCTGAAGAAAAATAGGAGCCACTACTCGTTACTAAAATTTTTGGGGCCCAGGATTATCACATCCATCCAGAATAACTATGGCGCTGGAGTTTACTACAATTCATTGATCATGTGTGATGGTAGGGTAAGTGACTTCGGGCCTTTGTCTTACCTTGGGTGGTTATTAACCTCTGTTATTAGAATACCAGCTAAATATGTATGTTCTTGCAGCGAGGAAATTTTCACACTCCTGCTGGATGTCTTGAACCCAGAGATAGCACAGGAACTGAGTGCTCGTCTCCCCTTGACTGTGTTTGCAGTGTAAGAAGGTGGTTGGTGTGACTGATTTTGTTTTTTGCCTTTGGCCATGTGGTTCTCAAGTTTTAGGGTGCATCAAAATCCTCTGGAATGCATGCCTGTTGTACACACTGATTGCTTCCCAAGCCCCAACCCCAGAGTTGATTCAGTAGGTCTGGGGTGGGGCTTGAGAATTTGCATTTCTAAAAAGCTTCCAAATGTTGCTGAAGCTGCTGCCCTGGGAACCACATTTTGGGAGCCACTGGTTTGGTCAGTGGAAGGAGTAGGCAGGCCAATTTAGGATCAGGGTAGAGATTAATCTTATCTAGAAGGAGGAGCAGACAAAGCAAGAAGTTGGACGTGAAGAGGGTGTCATAGGTGGTTTGGAGCTTGTGGGCCAAGTGGTAGACCGGAATCTCTTGGTGCCAGCAGATGGGTGGAATTTGACAGTGGGATGTTGGAGAGCAGGTAAGTTGCAAGGATCCCCACAGGTGGGTTGTCTGACAACAGAAACCCAGCTGAACTATCTTTCAGATGAAGCACCCCAGTCTCTAAGAGGGCTGCCATGAGCTAGACAGGACCCCAGCCTAGGAGGACCAGTGAGGGTTCTAAATGAAATGCCTCCTGGCATTAGCTGGGCTAGGGATGACATATGGGTTTGACCTGCTGTGCCAACTCTGCTGCTGATTGCTTAGAGCAATAAGACTTTGACCGGCTTAGGAACCACCTGGGGATTTTGTTGAACTGCAGATTCTAATTCAGTTGGTCTAGGATGGAACCTGAGATTCTGGGTTTTTTTTCCTCCTTCTTCAATCAACTTAATGATTCTGCATTTTTTTCAAGCTCCAAGGTGATGCTTATGTTATTAGTCAAAGGACCATATTTTAAAGCCATCCTGTCCTGTACCAGCAAGCCATACCAGTCAGTTGCCTGTTAGGAAAACGGGGCAGCAAATCACCATCTGAGCTCCACTGCCCCGCCTCCCCACTGCGTCCATGGAAAAATTGTCTTCCATGAAACCAGTCCCTAGTGCCAGAAAGGTAGGGGACAGCTGCAAAGGGTTGGAGGTTGAAGTACTGACTTGAGAAGGATTTAAAGACCTGGTTGGACTTGAGTGGAGGATAAGTGCTGTGATTGATTGGTGATATCTGCATACCCTGTGGGCCATACATTTGCCTTTCTGTTTGAGGTCCAATCCTGCTCCACCTGCATTTTGCAGATGAGGAAATGACATGGTTCCATAAGGTTGTACAACTAGTTCATGACAGGTCCCTGACTTCCAGGCCAGTGGTGTTTCCATGACCTCCCAGCTGTTACTTGTTTGCAACTAGAAGGGCTTTCTGTAGTGCTGTCCCCAGAGTGGAGGGAAGAAGTAGTTATTCTGCACAGCCTTCCACTTCCACGTCAGTCATGCGAAAGACATAGCTTTGTTCTTTCTCCATAATTAATATTATGCTGAGCCTATCTCTAATTAGTAGTTTTCAACCAATATTACAAGCTCCAGTAACCAAATGTTTGGGCATAATTGTATGCTAAAGAACTGTACTTTTTTTTTTTTTTTTTTTTTTTTTGAGACAGAGTCTCACTTTGTTGCCCAGGCTAGAGTGAGTGCCGTGGCATCAGCCTGGCTCACAGCAACCTCAATCTCCTGGGCTCAGCGATCCTACTGCCTCAGCCTCCCGAGTAGCTGGGACTACAGGCATGCGCCACCATGCCCGGCTAATTTTTTTTTTGTATATATATTTTTAGTTGGTCAATTAATTTCTTTCTATTTTTGGTAGAGACGGGGTCTCTCTCAGGCTGGTTTCGAACTCCTGACCTTGAGCGATCCGCCCGCCTCGGCCTCCCAAAGTGCTAGGATTATAGGCGTGAGCCACCGCGCCCGGCCAGAACTGTACTTTTTAATTGAAATTTTTAGCTACTTTTTGGATAGTGACAGCTTGAGAAGGGTATTTGGATACTCAAGTTTAGTAAAGTGAATCTGAATATACCTGTTGAGACAAATTGGATTTTGTAACCTGGGAAAGCCACATTTAGGGTTTATACAAATTATGTTTAAAATGGACTTGACCATAATTCAATGTGTTTAACACTGATAAAGAAGTTTTATTTTTGGATGTTGCTTTGTAATTATAAAAGTGTTGAAATAGTCAATAGCAAAAGAGAAGTTTACTTTGTAAAGGATATCAGTGAAAACTTTTAATTAAAGAAAATTTCTTGTACTTTGTAACGAAGAGAACATTGGAAAACCAGACTGAAATTCTGGGACATAATTTTGACTCTTGTTAATACGAGTGCCACTTTGGACATGTTTTTTATTCTCTCTGGACCTCAGGTTTTTTATGTCTCACATACGGAGCATGAACTAAATTACTGCTTCTCAAACTGCCTTTGGGAAAGGACCAGTTTTTTACATCCAATTAACGGAGAACCAATACTAGATAGCATCTAAGAGCTATTCCACCATTAACATCACATGGTCCTAAGTTAAAATAGTGGTCACCTCACATACTTTAGGGGCCAAATCAGTCTTGGGCTCTAAACCTCTGAGAGATTTTGGTTGAGATGTGTGTTTTCACAAGGTAAGCTATTGTGCATGTCTTTGAAAATCAAGGTACTACTCTAGTCAAGAACTTGATCTATTTTATTTTGTACTTACGTAAGCATCAACATGATATTTTACTATTTTCTGCTCATTTCTTTTCCAGCTTATCAAATATGGGGTTATTAGCACTAATGTTCTGATTGAAGATCTCCTCAACTGGAATAACTTATACATTGCTGGACGACTCCAAAAACCGGTGAGTGAATGTTTTAAAGGCTGCATAATTAGGGATGCCTCTCCTCTCTGAACCAGACTTTACTTTGATCGTTATGATTGCAATGAGATGGACCTCAGGGAAATAGAAATGAGTTTCAGATTCATCTTACTTCCTATAAAATTTATTGCCAAACAATATCCAGATATTCCTCTGTGATACTGGGATATAAGAAGAAATATATATTTGGTCTTTGTCCATGGTTCCTTGCTTAGAGCTCTCAAAACTCTAGGAATATCTTAGTGATTGGGGTAAGAAGAATGTCTTTTGTTATTCACAAGTCTCTGTCTAGGATACCTAGGTTTATGCTAATAAGGGGACTCTTGATGTGCCCTTAAATATATTCAGGATAGGTGCTGGTTACCTAGGAACCAACCAAGTGATTAGAGGTTGAAACTTTCAGGCTCCCTCCTCTGTCACCTTAAGGAAGAGGAGGAAGGAGATTGAGCGAATCACCAATGATCTAATCAGTCATGTGTAGGTAATGGAACCTCTGTAAAAATCCCTAGACAAAGGGGTTCTGAGAGCTTCCAGGTTGGTGAACATATCAAGGTTCTTGGAGGGCAGTATGCCCACAGAGGTCATGGAGCTCCACGCTCTTCTTCTTACCCCGTATCTTGCCCTATGTGTCTCTCCCATTTGGCAGTTCCTGAGTTGTATCTTTTACAGTAAACCACTAAATGTAAGTAAAGTGCCTTCCTGAGTCCTGTGCGCCATTCTTGCAAATTATCACACCAGAGGAGAAGGGCGTGGGAACCTTGATGTATAGCTGATTGGTCAGAAGTACAGGAGACCTGGACTTGGGTTTAGTGTCTGCAGGGGGGGCAGACTGTGGAACTGAGCCCTTAACCTGTGGGCCGTGACTCTAACTCCAGGTAGTGTCAGAATTTAATTTAGTTGTTGGACACCAAGTTGGTGTCTGGAGAGTTGGATAATTGGTTGATGTGAGAGAAAAAAACCCACGTATTCACTGATAGAAATGCTTGGAGTAAGACAGATCGTTGTATGCCCACCCCACTGCTGTCCTCTAAAGATTCTTCAATTGCCTGACTGGATGGGGCGCAGACTTGATCCATCTGGGCTGGGGAGGGTGGCAGAGGAGGTGCCCGGTGCTTCAGTGCAGCCTCTCAGCACCACCCAGATCACATTCTCTCCTAGGACATAAGTGCCACGGGGGCACTGTTGCCTACTGATGTACCCTAAGGGTGTCTAGGACAGTGCCTGGTGCAGGGTATGCTTTCAGGAGCTGTCGAGTAGATGAATGGGCCAGGCAGTTATTCCAAGGGGAGTAGTACTCTGATCCCTCTTCTTATCTCCCTCAGCCAGTGGCCACACCCTGTCATTGCTTCTTACATCCTGCTTCTCCCTGGAGAAAACAGACAGAAAACAGGTTTAAAAAAGCAGGGAAGGGACTTGAACTTTCAACAGGTATTTGCAAATGTCACCTTTTTTCAAATAAATGGTCTATTTTCTGAGAAAGGGTCTTGGCATAGTTTAAGAACTGTGTTAAATGGTCACACTTGCTAATCTCACATACTTCCCACAAAGAAAATTTTCATTGTGCTGTCACAAGGTCTCAAGCTCCAAAAGAGGGTACTTGGATCATTCTCCTGTGACTCCCTTAAAAGTGGTGTGTTGCTTGTCCTTTCATAGTGAGCTGTGGGGAAAAATTAGAGATTTATACCATCTTAGCTCACTTGATTTGTGTCCTAAAAATCTCTTTATTGATATACTTGGGCTGTCAAGATTCTTTTGTCTTGTACCTGGGCTTAAAATTTAATAGTGTTGCTCATTAAAATGTCTAGAAACACTTGATTTGGGCAATGGTTACACAGGCATATGCACATGTAAAACTTTATCAAACTCTACCCTTAAAATATGTGTACTTTACTGTATGTAATTTTGACTTCAGTAGGAACAAAGTCTAGAAACAATAGGCTTAGTGAAATAATTTCATATCTATATAGATGAATTTCTCATGTCTATACTAGATAACTAGTAAAGCTCTTAATTGAGCAAACAAATGCAATTGAAAATTTATAAATATTTTATTTCCAAGTTTTTTTTTTTAATTTACAAAATATATATGTACCTTAATGGGAAGAGTAATGAATATGGAAGCAGAAGCCTTGGGTCATATTTATTCCTATCACTTATTAGCTGTTTATATGAACTTGGGCAACTTGTTTTAGCTTCCTGAGCCTTAGTTAATTCATCTGTAGAATGGGGATAACAATACTTGCCCTGTCTGTACCACAAAGGTGTTTAAAATTAGAAACAGTAGTAATGCTGGAAGAACCCAGATGTTTTAGAATCTAAGAGATCTAGGGTTAGGGCCCGGCTCTGACACTTCCTGTGTGACCCTACACCACTGACTGAATCTCCCTAAGCCTTGGTATTATCTGTTCTTGAGTCTCAGAAGAGTTCCGAACAGCTACACTTAGTAGACACTCAGAAAGTGATCTTTCCCTTTTCTCTCTCTTTGCCTATCTCAGTTATTTTGAGATAAAATGGTATTGAATGTTAAAGTGATGTATTCTCTGTTTTATATTTTATGCTTAGAATATTTCAAAATTAAAAATAGACTTTAGAAACCTTAAATGCCATGAAATTTCAGAATGTAAGCACTGGAAATGACCTCAGCTTTTATCTAAATGCCGTAATATCCTTATAAAAACACTAATTCAAGACAAGTAGTAACAGCTACACTCATACTATGCAAAACTGCATTGCTCATCTAATTTGAAGAAGAAAATGTTGATAGCAATGATTATCCCTCAGGCTTGTTAAGCTTCTAGCACAAGAAAATGAGGCTATCTTAAAATTCATTTGAAAGTGTTGAACATATAAATGGGGAAAAAGTTGAAAATGATAAATGGGCCAATTAACTCTCCCTCCCACTCTTGGTAGATATCACTTAATCAGAGACTTCTTGATCATGATCACAAACTATTTTTACCTCTAGGTGGCAGCAAATATTAATCAACCTAGATAAACAAATCTGATAAAAAGAAAAAGTGGTAGCATTTTGGACAAGAAAAATGGGTGACTGTCGTAAAGAATTTTGAGAATATAAGTATGAATTCTCTCTCTTTATGTATTTTAAAAGGAGTTTTAAGGCCGGGCGTGGTGGCTCAACACCTGTAATGCTAGCACTCTGGGAGGCCGAGGTGGGAGGATCACTTGAGGTCAGGAGTTCAAGACCAGCCTGAGCAAGAGCATGACCCTGTCTCTACAAAATATTGGAAAAAAATTTAGCCAGGTGTGGCAGAACATGCCTGTAGTCCCAGCTACTTGAGAGGCTGAGGCTACTTGGAAGGATGGCTTGAGCTCAGGAGTTTGAGGTTGCAGTGAGCTATGATGACACCACTGCACTCTAGCTGGGGTGACAGAGCAAGACTCTGTCCCTCCCCCCATAAAAAGGACTTACATTAAATCATATTGTCTAAAGCTCCAAAATTGTCTTGCATCTTACAAATTGAAATAGAATTTCTCAATCACTAGCAATTTAAGTCTTCAAAAGGAATATATAAAGGAGTATATTGCTTAAAAAGATGGGCATTTCTGGGAAAAGTTGAGTGAAATTAAATTTCTATCATACTTTATGATTAATTTACCTCATAGTCAAGGAGATGCCCCTTTTTTGTTTCTAGTACAGCCTTAAGTTTCTGAGTCATTTACTAATACTTTTCCAAGTAGAGAACTTTGGAATTTAAAGTATTTAATAGAACATAGTAGTCAGTCTTTTTTAAGTCAAAGGAACCTCTAAGTCATTTAAGTAATAGTCATTTCCCTAATGAATTTAACATAATTTTGAATTTTTGCATTTCACATTGTTTTTGGTGTATAGTGATTTTGCTTGAATTTTAAAAGCATCCACATTGCCATGCAGTGGTATTTTTGCCGCCTCGTTAAGAGGATTGTATTTTAATATATTCATTGCAACATATTTGCTAGTAATGCAGCTTTATTTTTTATAACATCTTTAATGAGATACAATTTACATAACATAAAATTCAACCATTTAAGGCAAATAACTGAATGGCTTTTAATATATTCAAAGAGTTGTGCAACCATCACCATATTGTAGCTTTCTTGATTGATTTTTCATGGATAGAAAAATCCCAGTGGTATAAGACATCCCAGAACTGGGAGTTAGAAAACTTGGCTTCCTGATTTTGGCTCAGCCCTGCTGTGAGCAAATGTCTGGGCCTCTAGCCTTTGAAACGCAAAGATTGAGTCATTCATTTAGTTATTCAAAAGACAACTAAGTTTATTCTCTGTGTATGCCAAAGGAATAAAAATATAAAGCACCACATTGTTCGTCCTGAAAGAGCCCACAATACAACAGGAACATAATGAATAAGGCTTCTTCCAGCTCTGATGTTCATCAGTTCTTCTTCATCTTCAAGAACAACTATTTAGAAGAGTTAAACCTTCTGGTCAGTTGGAATGGAAAAGTTCTGGTGAGTGGTTGAGTATTTGAACACTAGGTAGGGCTGTGTTCTTTGTGACTAAAACTCACTCTTTGCAATTCAAGTAGTCTCTTGTTGTGACTGTTACAGAGGAGATCACATGTGACTTTCTCTTTTTTCCTGTCTTGAAAGGTACTCACAAATCTCTCCTTTGAAAGTCCCTTCAAGCATTGCCCCTTTCTCTGTCCAGTAAAGATTTTCTTCCCTGGCAGTACTGCTAATGTTATCTATGCAGTTCAAGTCAGGGCATTCCCAATAAGATACAAACAGCTATTCACAACTCTGAGGACTTTCTTTTTTTCCCAGGCCTCTCTGGCAGTGTCCCAAGAGTTCACGGGCTTTTCATTCCGAACAACAAATAACAGTGCTGCTGAGACAAGTTCCTAATTCACCTTTCGTTGAAGAACCAGATCAGCACAGTAGCAGAGTCCTCCGAATTGACATTTATCTTTTGAGTAAGGATGCTTTTATTTTCACTCTCTTAACCTTAAATAGCAAACAGACTTTCTTGCAACTAAGTAGAACAGCTTTCTTGGAGAACAAGTGGTATTTTGTTAACTAGGAAAATTTCCCCAAACTTATTCTTTCTTTGCATCTTTGAATGGTTAGCATCTCAAAATAGCTTCCAATTTCACTGAATATCTGTAAAAAGCCATCAGAAAAAGAGAGGGTGAAGAATTATTAAGAAGGACCTGGTGAATGACAGTGAAGAATGGGAATATGGAGATAGAGAGGCATTACAGAGTTGTAGAAAGAGCACTGGACAGATCAGAGGACTGGATTCTGGTCCAGTGTGCCACTACTTTTGGCCTCAGATTTCCCATCAGTAAGATGAAAAGGTTGACCTCCTAGATCCATGATTCAATGTAGAATAGAGTCATCCCTCACTATCTGTGGGGAATTGGTTTCAGGACTTCCCCAGCCCCTGTCGGATACCAAAATCCAAGGACACTCAAGTCTGTGATATAAAATGACGTGGTATTTACATGTAACCTATGCACATCCTCCTTCCCATATACAAGGGCTATCTGGAAAGTATCCAGTTCTCATATTTTACATCATCTCTAAATGACTTGTAGTACCTATACAGTGCCTACACATGACTTTATTCACGTGGATTCAATGTAATACTTGGCATGCAGCAAATTCAAGTTTTGCTTTTGGGTATTCTGTGAAAATTTTTTCTGAATATTTTCCATTTGTAGTTGATTGAATCCATGGTTGAGGAACCCATGGAATAGAGGTGACTGTATAAGGTTTGGGAAAGTTATTCAAGGAATAAACATAGGAGATTTTATAGGATCTTAAAATTTGTTTTAATTCTCTTTCAAGATAAGAAGTTAACCAGAACAGATCCCTAACAGTGCATGAGAATAATTTAAAATACTTAGAGCTGGATTTGCTGAGTATAAGGGTGTTTCCCTGGTTTTTGCCATTAACTTGCTATGCAGACTTAGGCGAGTCATGTTTCTGGGCTGGTCCTTCAGTTTATTCTCTGCAGATAATTATGATAATAATACCAAACACACCCAAGTGCTGAAAGGCTTAATTAATGTCTATTAAGTCCTCATAATTGTAAGGGAGTAGGAGATGGTATTGAATCAAGTGGCTTACATACAATATATGAGGTTTGTATGTTATAAATATTCCTCTAGGAAAAAAATACGGGAAAAAAGGTAAAAGAATTTAGATTTTTAAACCTGATTTATAAAATACTAGTATGTTTTATAATACTACTTTTATAATTATAGAAAAGAGAGAATAAACTATACCTTGGGATACATACACATGATTCTCCTCTTTCCTTACTCTCCAGTAAAATTTCATTTTGGAGTTTCTCATAGTGTGTCTTTTATGTACTACTTAATTTTGCCAGAAAATATCTGCATTTGACAAAAGACAGTTTATGCCCTGTTTTCAAGAATAAGAGGAAAATTTGTTGACACTACCAAATGGTTTAGAGATGGTGGATACATTTCAGATAAATGGGAGTTTTTTAATAGGGCCTTCTGGACCTGACTGTTTGTATAGAAAATCAGAGCAGCATGACATTTTAAAAAGATTATGGGGTATAAGTTGGTATAACCACTCTAAAGAGCAATTTGGCAGTTCTAAGTATATACATTAGAGTAGTAATTCTCAAAATGTGATCCCTGGACGTTACTTGGGAGCTTATTAGAAATGTATATTTTCAGGCTTCACCAGGCCTACTAAAGTAGAAATTCTGGGGGTTGGGCCCAGAATATGTGTCTTAATAAGGCCTTAATAAGGCCACCATTAGCTATGCTAATGCTAGCTAATGGTGAACCCCTGGCCCAGAGAAACTCTGGAGTTGTGTACCAAAAAACACGTACAGGTAAGCTCACTTCAGCTGAAGGTTTGTATGCAATATCTCCTGCAATCTTTCCAGCAACCTTATGAGCTTGATTCTGTTATTAACCTCATCTGATAAGGACTTGTCTCATAGTCACAGAGCTGGGAAAAGATGGAGGTAGGACTTGAACACAATCCCTTAACTACAGTGTGATCTTTAAAACAGAGAATCTCAGACCAGACTGGAGCTCTTTATATTTTAATGGATTTGGGGAAAATCACAGATGGCAGCTGCTTCTGTGTATTTAGGAAAAATATCCTTTTAATTGATCAAGACAGTTGCAAGTACACTTGGTACTCTTAATCATATTCAGTCTTTGTGTCAATTCTTTGATGTAAATCAATTATCCCTATTTTATAGATGAATACTTAAGTTCCCAGAAGCTAAGTAATTTCCCCAAACTCACACAGCTAGTAAGAACCTGGACTTGAGCCCAGACCTATATCCAAAACCCATGCCTTTTCTACTATAGCTAATTTTCTTTCCTTTTTCCTTAGTCAAGTTCAAAATCAGTATATCTAGAAATCATGACCTAGAACATGAACTGCCCAGGTTAGATGTGGGCAAGAGTACAGAAGTTCTAAATAAGTAAAATGCCTTTGTCTAATGAAAAATTCAGAACAATGAGATTGTAAAATTTTAAAACATTAACGTTCCCAAAAGACATTTATTCTTTTTGAAAACCTGTGATATGTCTCTTCATTTAAGAGGAATATTTATTATGTTTTCTTTGGCATATTGGTCCTTTCCATGTCATGATTTCTCTTTTCCATAGAAGAGGAGATTCTGGGATTGCTTATTAGAATAAGTATTTTGTGTAACTGAACTAATATTTCAGGATCTTCAGTGGTGAGAGTTTGGAATAGTTCCAGTGTACATGTAAATCCATGGCTTGAGCAATACTCCTTGCTTCTGGAATGTTTTTTCCAAATGTTCTGCTTCTTTCAGGTGAAAATTGTAGCAATGAATGAGAATGTCACTCTTAGATCAGCCCTTGATAAAAATCTGAGGAGTGCTGTGACTGCTGCTTTCCTCATGCTCCCTGAGAGCTTTTCTGAAGAAGACCTCTTTATAGAGATTGCTGGACTCTCCTATTCAGGTTAGTATAGTTGATGCTCAAATATTCTGCAAGCAGGAGATTTGTTATCTGAAGACTGTGCACATATCCTGCTCCTCACTTTGCCTTGAAGTCACAACAGCCTTAGTTGTAAATCTGTACTACTTCATGTGTAGGATCCTACACTACCCACCTGACATGCTTCCCTACCTCCACGGTCTCTTCGCTACATCTCTACACTTACTGTCCTGGGGTAATTTTGTTGTGTTGTTAATTTTTATTTTGAAGCCATTTCAAACTTACAGAAAAGTTTCAAGAATAATACAGAAGACTCGTATATACCCTCTCCCCAAACTCACCAATTTTAAATTTTCATCGCATTTGTTTACTCATTCTTACTGTATCAGTGGTTTTCAAACTTCAGTATGTATCTGAACAACCTGAAATACTCAGGTTAAAACACAGACTCCTGGTTGAGAAGGTCCAACAGCTGATTTGGAAGCTGTGAAGTGGGGCCCAAGAATTTCTGTTTCTAACAAGTTCCCCAGGATACCACTTTGAGAACCACTGCCTTCTCTGTCTGTGCAAATATACTATTATTTTTTTCTGAGCTGTTTGAGAGTAGGTTGCACATGCCATGTCCCCTTCAGGCCATATTCTGTACTTCAATTTGTTTCCTAAGAATAAAGACATTCTCTTACACAACCACAATATAGTTATCAAATTCAGGAAATTAAACACCGATACAGTGCTTGTATCAAATTTACTGTCCACATTTCAGATGTTGCTTGTCCCAACACCCTTTTTGGCATTTTTTCCCTCAAGTATGTTACTGCTTCAGGAATCATATCATGTTTAGTTGCTGTGTCTCTTGTAGCTTTTAATCTGGAGCACTTCTTCAGCCTTTCCTTGCCTTACATGACTTGTGCATTTTTGAAGTCTACAAGCAAGTAATGTTTGCCCTTGTATAGTTAGTGTTTTCTTCCTTCTATGCAATCCGTTTGGGTGAAGATCATGCAAATATCCTTCTAATCAGACTTTCCCTCTTGGATTAAATAATAATCCATTGATTATTCTTGCTCAAACCGGTCTTTAAGATGATGGTTACAAAGTGATGATTTTCCAACTCCACTTCTTCCTCCACATTAAGGAAAAGCTTTCTCTTCTTCCTCATTCACTTGTTTACTTATTTGTCTAAATGTTAACTTCCTTTCCCTTTAATTGTGTTCCACAAGGATGTCAGAGGCTCTTCTGAAGGGCAAGGGGGAAACTGAAAATAGGCCCCTCACCCTGGCTGCAGCCAGAATAATGCCACATTTATCTATTTGAATATAGTAAGGTTCCATGTAAGATGTCATTTGCAAAAAAAAAAAAAAATAGTCTGCTCCTTTAAGTTTGAAAACCACTGTCTTAAATAAATATCCTCTTAACTTTTAAATGTGAGTCAAAGAAACTTGTGCTCAAAATATTGCAAAAGCAGTTTACTTATTCTCTGAATCCCAGTACAGATAAAATTTCATGGAAATTTAATGCTGTAGGTGACCTTAGAGGTCTTGTTCTTTGGTCTTCTCAAAATTCAAGCACAGTTACAGCTGTAACTACAAAACTGGAGACAAAGGCAGTGAAATAACCTAAGTCTGGTTGCTTCCAGCGTCAGCTGGCAGCATCCCTGCCTTCCAACAAAAGGTGAAGGGGCAAAGAGTGGCGTGGCTATATACCAGAATGGGTGGGCCTATGGGCAATGTGTGGGAAAAGACAGGCACTTTTTTAGTGTGGTTCCATCCCCATACTCCCCTGTGAAAAGAGATGTAACAGAAAGAAGCCTTTTATGAAAGACTAATTTTGTGGGAGAAGATGCAGGACTGTTCTCTGTTTTGCCTATACTACTACCACTCCTCCGTTTTTTTCCCTTGTAGTCAGTATCAGCATACTGATGGGTGGATTCTGGGAGTTCTCTGTAAATTCTGAACATTGACTAAAGAAGTTTATCAGATGACATAACTGCTTTCACCTGTTTGCAGACTTTCTTAAGTTAGCCTTGAAGCTACTACCAGTCCTACAATTTTTGCTGTAACTAGACTAGGGAGGGTAGAAAAGGACCTAGGTCCTGCAGGTAGATCTCTTTCATAGGTATGAGACTTGCCCCAGGCAATGTGTTGAAAGGCAAGTTCCCCTGACTTTCCTAAGCTTCTGAGAACTCTATCCTAGATTTGACTGGATTCTATCCCTTCAGTAATCCACCCAAATCTCCCAACCCTCAGAATATTCCAAAACTTCGATTGTCCACCAGTCTCATTTTTATTAATAACTTTGAAATTTTCCTTCTTTTTTCAGTTGAGAGATTATATGCGATCCCTAACCTGTGAAGTTCAACATTTCTCTTGGGAGAGGGTGGAGAAGGATCAGAGAAAACAGCTTTGCTCCCTGTTATTGGACAAGTTCCTGCCAGTAATTATTTAGGCAGAGGCAACATCTATCGGTATTACCAGTAGGAATAATAACCCCTTATGTTTTATGTAGTATTTAAGGACTACTTTGACTGCCGTGGTCAGTGTTTTTGGCAGCATTATTTAAAATGATGGGTGAGAAAGGAGTAGGTGGAGGATGGAGCTGCACACTAGGAAGGAGAAAGCTTTCTAATCCTTCAGTTATTCTTGGAAGTCAGCATTTAAGTGACCAGGAAAAGAACCAAATGAATTTTAAAGGGTCACCTTGAACTTTGCTATGCAAGTACAAACTATTGAAATGGCCACTTTTAGGCAGTGATCCTGGTTTAACATTTATCAAGTGAATCAGCATCCCATACCCTAAAGAACTGAGGGTAGAATTTCTGCTCTAAGGAACTTCACGTTAATAAACATGCAGTCACAGTGAGTCAGAGAGTGGTAGATTTAAAAACAACACGAATGGAAGAGGCAAGGGCGTGTGAAAGAACATGGCTTGTTTAAGGGCAAAAGCAGTAGATTGATGTGACTGAAGTCTATGGCTTATGGCGAAAGAAAATAGCATTTATTATTGGATGCCAAGAACTACTGTCAATACTTTTGATGTGATAACTAGTTAAATCGTGACAACCTTTTGATTTGGGTGCTGTATTAGTGCTCCATTTTACAGATGAGAAAACTGAGGTCCAGAGTGGTTACCTGTGTATCTCAAAAAGTTTTCAATGAGATAATATATATATCAAGGCCCCCAGCATCTTATCTCATTGATAGTTAGGACTCAGAAAATGATTTATGTTATTTTTATGTTTTATTGTTGGCTACACACATAGGTTTTCCTCAAATTGTGAGATGCTGTTATTTGCTCAATCATTCAATGACTGATGGACACTTAGGTGAGCTCCGTTTGTTACTGTTTTGGTAAAAACACTGCTGTGAATCACTCTGTACAAGTTACTTTGGTAGAGAAAGAGGAAGGGGCAGAGGGGCACTAAGTTCCTTGGGTGTGTTCTCCAAAATGGAATTATGTTGTCATTTATAAGAATTATAAAACTTGTTACGTGTTGATGAATAATGCCTGTCAAATTTAGCAAAATTAGATCAGGTGGGTTGAAACTTGACAGCCCCAATTCATCTGGCCCTTTAAGGCCCTTTAGGAATGAAAAACACCTTCAAGCGCTCTTGTGTAAGAGAGAGTGGATTTCTTTCATTGTCAGATTCTCTGAACGCAGGCTCAGCTACTTCTAGGAATAAGACGAAGCAGTGAGGAAGTTGCCAGTTGGATGATTCTTGGGGAAAAAAATTAACAATGGGTGCCGGCACTCTAAAGTGTGAATAAACATCCTCATTTCTGATTTCTGGATTCTGGTAAAAGCCAGTAAAGGAACTTTCTCTGGAGTGAAAGCTGTTAAGATTTATTCTGTGATGGTCAATCATCTGAAACCTTGTAAGCTGTCTCATTGGATGATCTGCATGTTGGGAGTTGACTTGTCTGGGGAATTTGGAAGCCTATTTCTCTATGCTTGGCATGCTTGAGCTTTTGCTGAAGCCTCAGCTGGAATTTTTGTACTCAGTAGTCACTTGCTAATTTCTGATAATGCAGTACTCCTGAAGGGGTATAAATTATTAGTAGTATCTAACAGTTTTTGGATTAGGTACTGTGTGTTAGGTATTGTAATATATTTAATCCCTGAAATTTTTAAACGAATTACAATTATTGCTCCCATTTTTCATTTGAGGTTGCTGAAGCCCAGCCCAGAGAAGTTAAGTAGCTTATCCTGGGTTGCATAACTTGTAAGTACCGAGCTAGGATTGAACCCAGAAGGTCTTAATCCTAGGACACTGCTCTTAACTTTTTACTGTTCTACGAAAGCTCTGTGATGGTAGGTGTCATTCCTGGTTCACACCTGGGTCACTCTCCCCTCCACCCCGGGACCCACTGGCTCACCCCACCCGCTGTAGGCCTCAGTTCTGGCTTGTCATGGAGGTCTTCCCTGGCCCCCACTGCCACCCCACTGCTCCCTGTCATCTTGACTGGCTTTTGTTTTCTCCATAGCACATTCCACAGTCTAACACACTGTATATCTTATTTGTTAGTTGGTTGGTTTGTCTTTGGTCCTTATTGCACCATTAGAATGTGGAGAGCGAGGATTTTGTCTTGTTCTGCTCATTCTGCTCCATACATACAGTAGTACCTGCCACATACTAGGTGCTTAGTGTTTGATGAATAGATAAATGGTTGTGATATTGCTTCCTTCCTGAACCAGTATAGTGAACCTGATTCCTCCCTACACCCATCCACTTAGTGTTCTCCAAAGTATAGAAAAGAAAAAGTGTTTCTGATTTATATCACCTGGCAGATCAGGAATTTATCATTGTCTCATTTTCTTCCACATTTGAGTTAGTACAATATAGCATCTTCTCTGTGGCCATGGAGCTATTTTTGAGAATGTATTTTATTTAATTTTTTTTTTATTTATTTAAATTTTAAATTTCAATCCTTTTTTTTTTAGACACAGAACATACTTCTGCAGAAGAGAATGTATTTTAAATGGTACATTAGACTGCCTCCTATAACTACTACGTTAGTCATTTTTGTTA